TGCAGCTGTAACTTGCATTAGAGCTCGCTGGATGCTGGCTAACAAGGGTAATAATAGGAATGAGGACGTGGCTAAAGGATCATCATAGTGGAGGCTGTACAGATGATTTAGTTCCACTTAGTAGAGTCAAGATGTCTTTGGCTTAAAATACTGTATCAAGCCAGACGAGTTTCTAGGAACAGAGCCATGCTCAGATCTTGAAGGCTGTTTAGTTTGTTGCTGGCAGACAGCGGCTGGAACCTGAAGGCCGGCGCGGGGTGTGTGGAGAGGCCTCCGCTCCCGCTGTTAGCCGGCGGGCTGGTTGCGGGGCCAGCGCCTCTCACCTGCCCAGGATCTGCAGGGTCGGCCAGAGAAAGTGAACTCTGGCAGCAAGAGGGATCTCTGGAAGGCCTGGCAGAGTACATTTGGTTCCTTCTGATTGCCAGGTCTGGCTTCCTCTTACGACTTCTCTTTATTTTTCTATTTGATTGCTGAGAGACAAAAGTTGTACGGAGCCTGTACACCACATTGCTCTTTGCAGCAAGGTTCGAGTCAGGCTGAGTTTCAACTGGGATAAAAATTCCTGCAGCTGAAAGCAGCAATAGTGTATATGGAATAGCACTAATGTCACTGCTGCATTTTCGCGGGGGGAGGGGGGGAAGATGGGTCCCCAGTCTCCTTCAATACCATTGCTGCCAAACCCAACTACTAATAGGCGCTATAATGAGCGATTCAAAATCAGCTGGAATGAAAGAGGCTGACAGGCACTGGGTGCCAGCACCCAGCCTTGTGGCAGGGCGGTTGGGCAATTTCAGCTGGCTTCTGTTTACTTTAAATGTATCAGAATCCAAACTTTGAATGGATGGAAGGATCTTTGGTCTGCATGTTTTTCACATTGGACTTCATGGTACTTTTTCTCAAAAATGACTTTCGTGTCAGCGCTCCGTCCTGAACCCTGTGTTGTGTTCAGAGGAGAACTCACTGTGAGAGGGAGATCTGTGCATACTATAAAATCCTTTCTGGGTTTACTTTTGTTTTAAAATACCTTCCAGTAACCTGACTTCTAACTATATGTGTCTGCTAGCTACAGCTGTGAAAAATATAAGCTCTGAAGAAAATGAAATGTATAACTTCTACAGGTGTCTAGCAAGTGATGCAAGTGTAGTACTTCATGTCAGGTAAGAGGCATTTATGATTTAGAATGA